AGACAAACTACTTACTACGAATACTATTCCCAAGGCTAGCATGTTAGAAAGGTGTATCCAAACACTCAGTTTTAAAATAAGCTGGAATATAGATGTTATGCTTACTCCAGCAAACTACTTCTGAATACTATTCCCAAGGCTAGCATGTTAGAAAGGTGTATCCAAACACTCAGTTTTAAAATAAGCTGGAATATAGATGTTATGCTTCTCCAGCAAACTACTTCTACCACAAAAAGTAAAGGTAGTCTAAACAAAAGTAAATTCATTCACTTTATTCCTATCAATTGATAAGGACATTTCTATCCAAATATCTGCCTCACCAAACAACACAGAATAAAGAAATAGAAGAACTGTCTAAAAACTTAAAGAAACAATAGTTGTGACATCCAAGAAAAACATTCTTGTCATACAAAATGACTGGAATGCAAAAGTTGGTACCAATGCACATAGAGAACAGCACAATACAGCTGGAAAACTTGGACTAGGGGAAAACCAATGACAGCAGCATGAGACTGTTAAAGTTTGCACAACTGCATAAGCTTGTACTTGTCAACTCACTTTACCCACACAAACAATCAAAAAGAGTGGCATGGATTGCTCCCCATGGCACCTACAAGAATCAAATGGACTACATTTTCATGTCTAATTGATTCTGATCAACCATCAACCTGAATAAGACCAGATCTTTTCTCAGAGCTGAAAGTGCAATGACTACAATTTAATAATGATGACAATAAAGCTAAACTGAAGAACATTGCAACAAAAATACATCAAGAGTCAAATATGACCTAGAAAAGCTCAAGGACCCATCCAACAAAGGCTGACTTCAACATAAAAATCGGAGGTTTATTTGAACCACTTCTTATGCTAACTGACATTACAAATGGATTCACTCAAGTGATCACAGAAACAGCAGAAGATTTGCTTGGAAAAGCTAAGAAAAAGAATCAACAACGAACAACAAAATCATGAAAATGTGTGATGCACAATGAGCATCAAAAGCTAAACACTACTGATTTAAGAATCTGGCAGTCTCAATTACAGAGAAGCAAACAGGAATGTGAGAAATGAAATAAGAAAGGCAAAAGAAAGTTGGATTCTAGACAGGTGTAGACAAATTCAAAGCAGTTTTAAAGAAAAACAGTAAAAAAAGTATTTGAAAGCCTGGAGAAGATAATCAAAACACACCAAGCAAGAACAATGGTAAGAGATGACAAGAATGGGAAATTGTTTACTGAAAACAACATAATACACAAAAGATAGGCAAAGTACACAAAGGTAGTCTACAACTACAACATCCAAAAGGGGCTCCGAAGTATTTGACCAACTACGGAAAGGAGAACCTGGAATCACAAAAGAGGAATACTCAGACATCTCAAGAGAAGATGTAGAAGAAACCAACAGAAGCCTTAATTAGAAAGTACCTGAGGAAGGCAACATACTTGCAGAACTCTTGAAGAAAATTAACAACATAAAAAGCATGCTTCATAAAATTTGCAACATGATATGGATGGAAAAAACTTGGCCAACCCAGTGGACAAAGTCAGTCATCATCATCAACCTTCCAAAAAAGGAGAATCTCTACTGATGCATACACTACCACACAATCTAAACAAAGTACTTATAAAATAATACTGAACAGACTCAAACCTCAAGTAGAAACCATGCTGGTGGTACAACAAACTGGGTTCACAGCAGGGAGAAGTACCAAAGAGCAAATCTTCGACATTCAAGTACTGTCTGAAAAGTACCACAATCACCAAATCAAACTTCACCATAAATTCATAACTCAACTAAGCTTTCAATAGGGTGTGGCATAAAGCACTTTAGCTCATAATGAAGAAGCATAACATCAGCAAATACTTGATAACACTAACAGAATAACTTTACAGCAATGCAAGTAGTAGAGTGCTGTTTGGCAACTACACCAATGAATGGCTTGCAACTTTGGTGGGAGTGCGCCAAGGCTGCCTATTCTCGCCATGCATTTTCAACCTGTTCCTCAAACAAATGATGTCAGATGCCTTAAAGAATTTCACAGGAACTATATCAGTTGGAGGGTGAAAGATCAGAAACAACCAGCACTTTGCTGATGACATCAATCTGATAGCTTCAAAAACTTACAGAAATGCTGTATGAAACTGAAAAGAGCTACAGAATGGAAATAAAACTGAGAAAAGTAAACTGATGACAATCTCCAAGATTACTGATAGCAATGTTTATATGAAGATTAGCACTGAGTGTAACAAGTTTTAAGCCACTATCACAGAAGACTTGACATCTGAAAAGGAGGTAAAGACCAGAATAGGTAATTCCACCAGCCAACTAACAAAGCTAAAGAAAATCTGGACAAGCAGCAATATTACATTGAAGCTAAAGTTACATCTGCTGCATGCAGTGGTCAATTCTACAATGCTTTAATGGGTGTGAGGCATGGATGGTAACAAGTAGTTAGAGAACAGAATTGAGGAATTTGAAATGTGCTACTTTGGAAGACTACTGCATGTTTTGTACACTGAGCACCAGTCCAACAAGTCTATCAGGCAGCAAATCATTCAAAAAATTGGAACCTACAAACTGCTGTTAGAGGTTGTGATGAGGAAGCTGCAATCATTTGGGCAAATCACAAAAAATCCAACAACATAATGCAGGGTGTTGTGAAGGTTAAAAGAGGTAGACCCCCCCTCAAAAAAAAAAAAAAGAGCTGGAAAACCAACATTAAGGACTGGATGGGGCTTCAACTGACAGAGTGCAGAAAGCTAGCCAAGCACAGGTCAGTGGAGGAGGGTTGTTGTAGCACTCAAAGTGTCCCAACAGTCTTAAGACTGACTTGTCATTGACTGTTGCAAAGTGTTTTGCCTGTAAACAAACAACCATCACTTGTCCATTTTTCTTTGAATGTTTCAGCCCAACCTAAAGAATAACTATTTTTGCTAAGAACCTATTACTCCTTGAGAATATATTATTCATATCTTGATTTTCAAGCTTTCCCATAGTTTCTGTACAGGTCTTGGTTGAAATCTTGTTATGGTGCCACAGAAAGTGGTTTGATCATTTGCTGAACAAACACCTATAAAGTTCAAACACAATTGAATAGTGCAAGAATTAGACTATAATTTCATAGTATATATATATAAGCTTAAGTAATTTTTTTTTAAATATAATTTCTGTAAACATTCTTTTCAGTTCCTTTCCTTTATCATTTTATAAGCTAATTCTTCCTTACCATTAAAGCTAGGCAATTAGTGAAAATTGTTAATCAGTCAATCATTGGACTCATTAACTGATTACATTCAACAAACCAATTATTCTCACATTAGACTTGGATAGTTGGAATAATCGAAACATCAATAATCGAGAAACACTAATGAAGTTAATTGACTTAATCATGATTTAATTGATTATTTCACATGAAACTAATTGAGTTAATAGTCCAGATCTACTTGGCATTGCAATAACATTACAAATTTTGATTACACTTTAATTTTTCTGAGCAGTATACATATATATTAAGATACAAGTAAGTAAGATAAATTTATATATATATTCATCATATATCTCAATGTTTTCTTTCAATATTAACAACATTAAAAGTATAACAATACACTTACATACACAAACATGAAAACAAACCTGCATTAGCATCTTTGACAGCATTCTCATACTGTCCAAGTTTCAAAAAGGCTGCTGCCCTATTTTTCAAACACACTATCCTTTCTTGGCATTTTTCTGGACACAAGTTTAGAGCTTTTGTGTATGTTATAATGGCACCCTGGTGATCACCTGCTTTAAACAATTTGTTTCCTTCTTCCTTAAGTTCTTGAGCTCTGCTCTTTTCATCACTGCTTTTGATTTCTGACTGGTTTGAAGGACAGTTATTTGCCATTTTGCAGCTATAACTAAAAATAAGATATTCTTCATCAGTAACTTTATCAAAAATTCAAATATATATCAAAAAATTATAGATTTTTTATAACTACCCATTATGAAAAAGAAAGTGATAGATGAGAACCCTTTGTAGAGATCCATTACATAATAAACAAACAATGTGTACATGAAATCATAGATATACATTTTAAAGGAATTTTTAGCAAGAGTAAATTTCTAGAAAAAAAAAGAAATATGGAATTCTTAAAATATTTCAAATTTGATGATGTCATGTGACTTCTTTGTTCAATACTGTATATATATATATATATATATATATATATATATATATATATATATATATCCGTGTCAGTGTAAATTACTTGTACCTGATGATGACAAAACCTTGTCGAAACGTTGTACATTTGCTGTTATGTTAAACTTACATTAAAGATTTTCTTCATTACCCATTCAAGCCGTCTCCAGCCATTATTAGTCTTAAAGTGGGTTACTCGTCATCGAATTTAAACTCTAGTTTGTTCGAGGCGCCCTCTTTTTTAGTATATAAACTTGGCGAGAAAAACCAGCGCGACTGAAGAGATATAGATAGATTGAAGAGATAGATAATTGAGTCAAGCGAACAATAGGCACCGTAAGTAAAGTGTGTGAATCACTGTGAAGGAGTTGATGATGGTGAAGTGAACCAAGTATAGATATTAAAGGAGAGCAGGAGAAAGACCAAGATTTGAAGCCAATAATTGATTTCCTACAAGTAAGTGTTTTGCGCCCTGCTTGGGAGAAGGTGTCTAGCTAAAGCTCTGTGACAAAAAACTATTGGGCACAATGGGACCAGTTGAAGCTTGAAGATGGTATTTTTTCTCCGGAGATGGGAAAGTGACGACCTGACAAACAGTTATACAGAGACAGTTACAGTAAGTTGTGCTGCGTCAGTCCTATGATAGTTTAACATGAGGACATCTCGGAGTTAAAAAGACATTGAGTCACCCACGGCAGAGATATTACTGGATAGGTACGAGGCAAGATGTGGAAGAATGGTGCAGGACATGCAGTACATGTTGTGCAAAAAGGGGACCAAGGCATAAGGGACGTGCCCCAATGAAGTTATATCAAGTTGGTGCACCAATGGAACGAGTAGCCATTGCTGGTCCTTTGCCCCAAACTCGTGCTGGAAACAGGTACATTTGTGTGGTGATGGATTATTTCACCAAGTGGCCTAAGGCATATGCAATACTAAATCAGGAAGCTACAACTGTAGCTTCGGCTATTAGTGATTTCTTCTTCAGATTTGGTATGCCATACAATGGATCAAGGCTGTAGGTTTGAATCAGCTGTGTTACATGAATGCTGCAAGTTGTTTGGTATACGAAAGACCAGAACAGCGTCACTTCACCCACAGTCTGATGGGATGGTAGAAAAGTACATTTGGACACTGGGACAGTAATTGGCAAAGGTTTGTAATAGCCTCCAAGATGACTGGGATGT